TGAGCGTTATTGAGATATTAAAACTACATGTATCAATGTTTTTTGAGGTGTACCTAAAATTGAGTTATTATGCGGTTGTTGTTGGCAAGGGCAACAGTATTTCCATATTAAGACAACTACTCTCTATATAAGGCAACAATCCTTCGATAACGGTGCATGAATCAGTCATCAGGTCAGGCAGATATTTTATAAGTAACATTACTTCTTCAAAATTCAATCGTATCCTTGATTCTGTCCTCAAGTTTTTAGTTCGTTTGCTGTTTATTGGTACTTTTCAATTCAGAAGGCAATTTGAATCTCCGGAATTCATAGAAATTGATCAATGTCAATTGTCAAAATTATTATATATAATGCTCTGCTTGAACAATATCTAGAATAGTTTTAATTGAATATAATATTTTTTGAGTTTTGTCTGAAACATTATTCAGATAAAAATGAAATTTGAGATAATCAATAAAAAAATTGTGAGGAATAATAAGTGAAATTAACAAGGCACCTCCCCTTAATTATTATCAGAAACTGTAGTGTTTTTTGTTACCCACAATGCATTGCAAACCCATCTGTGTGTGGTTTATTGTTTCTGCATGGTTGGCTATTCTTAATCATGGACTAGATTTCTGGTTGAATTATCTCCCAATTTGCAATTTAATTGTTTGAATAAGGGATATGTTTACTGCTGGTTTGCAGGGATAATCTTTCCTCCATTAAGTGGCCAATGCTTCCTGTAGTTGAACCTTGACCTTTCGGTTTGGGTTTCAAATCCAATATTGTTAAAAAGTTACTGTAAATGCCAAATTCAAATTAACTGTAGCAAGGTCAGTATTTTTGAAAATTAGCGTACAAGTATATTACCAGTAAAGCTTATTATGTCATGTTATTTTACGCTGAAGTCAACTCGTTTCACATTTCTCAAAAAATTCTATTTTTTTCTTTCTCAAAGCAAATGTGAAATTATGTAAATTTGATTTATAAAAATGATAGAACTGCAGGATTTTCTTCAAAGAAATGATGCTTTAACATACGGCTGGCCGGACAAAGACAAATTTAACTAACTGGTCTACAAAGTCATGTAAAAAAAAAAATTCTCTAAAAATGTGGTAGAATTTATTTTTGTTTATAAAACATTTCCTGGACAAATAATGGATTATTTAATTTTAGTATCCAATTATATTAAGCGTTGTACAGTTTGTGCTATAAAGTACGATGAACGACCTGACCTTTTGATGACCTTTAGCAATGATATTCATCACAGATCTAGAGAGCTTTTGCCCACCCACATTCTTGTTACTAATTACTAAAAAGCATTTTCCAAATTTTCCTGTAGTTCAAGTTCATTGATACTATTGAGGAACACACACATTGGGGAATGCCATGCTACGAAGGCAAATACAAAATTCTTCGCTCCTTGGTTCAACTCTAAATCATGGTTGCTGGAATTAGTAACTGTCTAAATATATAAGTAATTCATCTTTAACCCACCACATGTCAATGTCAAAATTATGTTTCAACATTTTGTATAATCTTGTGTGTACTTTCTATAATTTCTTTGTTAATTTCAGATAACCAAATAGACACAATATCCTGTTGGCTACAAGTTTTGATCAAACTTTTGGATAAAAAAAATTGTGTGAATGGTGACAAATTTTGGCATTCAAAAATCGTTTTTTCTTTTAAGGCAAAAATTTATAATTGAAGAAACTGTTTGGTGATTTAAATCATCAGAATTTCCTTCATGACAGATATGGCTAACAAAATAAGATTCTAATTCTCATACACAAATGTCAGTGAATTTTGCATGCCAGTGATGTGCGCCACCTGTGGTTGAATGTAGAGATTGTTTTCTGTTTCTGAGGATGTTTTTTTTTTTTCCAATCCAAATAAACCTTTAAAGCTTGAATTTAATAAATGTTGAACATTAATCTTAAAAAAAAAAAATTAAAACCTCATTATTTTTTAAATTTTCCCCAGGATAAAATTTTTTTTTTTTCGTCCACGGTAATGATCATTCATCTGTGAGCCATCTATCTTTCCTATTTCCTTCGCCTTCTTAGTTCAATGGTCATTTTTGTAATGCAACCTTTCAATTTCCTGCCTATGCTAATAAAATCAGAAATAAATGTTTTTTTTCCCTCTTGGAAAGAATGTTATTTTTTCAAGTGTTGTTAAACATTTATTCGACTTATCAACATTTTACATGGGTGAAATCACTACTGTTTTCTATGACAGATGATGTGTATATTCTTTCCTGTAACACAATTATCATAAATTGTTTCACAACCAATGTCAATAATTCTATTCCTGGATTCTCAATTAAGAAAATTGAAAAAAAAAAATGCCCGAATTTGAAAATCACGGGGTAAAAAAAAATGTCTCGCTTTTGAATAATGCAAACAAAATCATTGATAGCAAATTATGAGATATCTGAAACAAATTCAACTCAAAATCAGAAAAATGTGAATTACAATATTTATTTTTGCTATTTTCACTGAAAATACCTTTTCTCCTATATTTTACATTCCAATCATTGAAAATAAACTCAATACAAAACACAAAAAATGTCAGCAAAAATTATTTCCAGTTATTTCCAGTATTTTACAGTAGTCTGTCTTTACTATCAGGATACTTCCTCACACACTCACAAAAGTTCTGATTAGCTGATGCATGTGTCTAATTTGCATATTCCTTATGTCATGTTCCACAGATCTGTGAATCGTTGAAGCAGTTCAGTATTTTACATACATTATATACGTTAGTTAGGACCCGCTATCAAACGCGGCATGGTGTGGCATTTAGTTGATTGTTGCTTCATTAGCACAAGCAATAAATTTTACTTGCAACGCGTACGTCACGTGTGCCCCATATTAAAGTCAACAAACTATACGACACTAAACTGAATGGCGGTGGTTGTTGTTGCAGCATGGACTCAAATTTTGTTCATATAAACATTGTATTTTACACGCAATGTATACATTGCATGAAATTCGCATTGAACCTGACCCTGCAATGATCGTGATGTAGTATTTATGACATAGACACGAGATGATACTTGACTGATAAGTGTGAGTAGCGGAAAGTATCCACGAAATAAAATTCTAAAAAGATAAAAGACTTAAAAAGTAAGTTCCTAGACTTAGTGTGAATGTGTGCTGTAACAGTTTATCATGTATTCACTTCAAGTATTCAAACAATGAATTTAAACAAGATTTCACAGTAATTTAATATATAACACTGTTACCATGGTAACAAAGGTCTACCACTGCTAAAAATGTTTGTAATAGTAAGTTTTATCAGTTTTAATGTCAACAGCATTAAGTAATACTGTATTAAAATGTAAATTTTGGTATTTTTGCTGATGAGTAAAATAAAATCTATGTGAACATTTAAAATAACAATAAAAATCATTTTTTCCTTGACAAATTTGTGGAATTAAAACACAGTGAATATGCTAAAAAAATTAAAATAGTGAAATTAAATGTCAGTGAAAATAACTGGTTTGAAAGTATGTTATTTGCTCACTTATAAATTTGTTTTACAAAATGTAAACATGTATTTTCTTAAATTTCTTGAAGACTACCTGTAGTCAGATGGAAATTTATGAACTAAGAACTAATAGAAAAATACATGTACATAAAAATGTATAAAATGTGGTACAAAAATTTAGCTGGAAAAAATGTACTCTACACACGAATGGAGTGACATTGAAATTATGAAATTTAAATTACAAGTGAAGCGAAATAAGAGAATATTAAAATCAGCAAAGAGGAAGCCAAGGAAAATCATAACTTGCTACACGGGCAGTACAATAGAGATATCAGGTCAAATATATAAAAGTACATCATACAAGACATGCTTGCTTGTCGGTCTTTGATTGAACGGCGATGAGATCTTTAGATACCAAACTGATTGGCAGAATGAGAAATGAAATGAATAGATGAGGAGCTGAGATACAAAATAATTGTCCAGAGCAATCTTGTGATGTTATTTTTTCACAAAATACCTTTCATGCATTTTATCGAAATTTCTCTAAACAAAATACTAAAGTGAGAGAATTTTTTTTACAGTTTACTGATGTGTATAGTTAGATAGATGATTTATAGATTTTTTAATATAAACCTACAATGTGTTTATAAAAATGATTAGATTGGATGAGGAATTTACATTGCAGATTTCTGGTTTAAATCGCTTTAGACAGGTTTCCGATTTACTGTGTTCGCTTTAGACAGGTTTCTGATTTACTGTGTTCGCTGTAGACAGGTTTCTGATTTACTGTGTTCACTTTAGACAGGTTTCTGATTTGCTGAATTCACTTTAGACAGGTTTCTGATTTTAATACTGTGTTCACTTTAGACAGGTTTCTGATTTACTGTGTTTGCTTTAGACAGGTTTCTAGAGTATTCTATTATTCTTGCTTAATATGGATCCAGTTTCTTCACTGTGACAAGGTCTTGATAGACAGTCATGGCAATTTCCATCGGTATTCTTGCACTACAACATAAATCATTCATATCACAACTTTTATAACTTTGATTGACTGCTTGCAGGTTTTTTAAAAAAAAAAAAATTCACTTTGATAATAAATTTGATCGCATCCCCACAGAATGTACAAGGATGTGAAATTTCAGGCTCATACTGTGGAATACTTTCGCTGGAATTTATTTTCGCTGAAAAGGCTTTTTGAGCGTTTTGCTTCAAATTTATTTTCACTGATTTTTGATGAGATTAATGTAAAATATAGGAAAAAATGTATATTCGCTGGATTTTATTTTCACGGAATCATCCCTTCAGTGAAAATAAATTCCAAGCGAAAATAAAGTATTCTACAGTATATAAATAAGGCCTTTTGAAATGCTTTTTTTACAAAGATTTGATGTGATCATTATCTGACAGTAGACGTTTGATTGATCATACTTAAATCGATTGGAGAATGATTAGAAATGTGAATCAGATAAAAGATAAACATTATTCTTCTGTAACTTTCACTCTGATCTCTTGGCTTGCAGATCCTTGGATGGGCGTTTACAGGTGTCGCACCGTAAGGGGCTGCCGCATGTGATCTACTGTCGTTTGTGGAGGTGGCCAGACTTACAAAGCCATCACGAACTTAGAGCTATTGATTCTTGTGAATTTGCATTCAACTTAAAGCGAGACGAAGTGTGTGTAAATCCATATCATTACGAGAGGGTGGAAACCCCCGGTAAGTACGTGGTGTGTGAATAAAATAGATTAATATTCAAATTATGTTATTAATATAAGTGATTAATATTTTAATGATAGTCTTTCCTCTAACTCACTAATTCTAAACAATTTTGTTTATTTCCAGTTCTTCCCCCTGTGTTAGTACCCAGACAAACCGGAGATATTCCGACTGACTTTCCGCCATTGGACGACTATTCTACTTCCATCCCAGAAAACACCAACTTTCCTGTTGGCGTTGAAGCCCAGAGTATTCTTCCAGGTCTGTATTTAATATTCATTTTTCCAATTTTTCTTTATTTCATGACATTATTATAAGTGTTTGAAGGAGAGAGGACACAGGATTTTGTTAAAATTCTGTGTACCTGTGGCTTTTTATGAACTTTTATGAACAAGCATAAATTGTTCATAAATAATAGCATGGTTCAAATTCTTGCATATTAATTAGGTATTTTGCATAACAGCTGATTCCTACATATTTAATTTGTTAATGTGTGCAACAGTTTGGAAAAGTCACCTTCACATTATTCAACAAATTCGTCACAATTAAATAAGTAATGCTTCACTATTAATTAATTTTCTGAATCAATGTCTTAAATTAATTAAATTATCATAATGGACTTTAGTTTCACAATATTCTCAGCACTTCTTTGAAATAAAATAAAACTTGGTACACATTCTATTGAAGTTTAGACAGGAGAAATTTTAAAGTGATTTTAATTTGCTTTTCTTCATGTTGTAATTATTTGGCGGAGTAACTGCTTTAATATTCTTTGAAAAAATAATTCCAAGAAATAACACACTTCATGGAAGTTTTAATTCAGCTTGCATTTTATATATATATATATATATATATATATATATATATATATATATATATATATATATATATATATATATATAGTGTAGATACAATAGTCGATTATTCTAAAACAAAAGTGCTCAATACAAAGTATATGTAGAGCGGGTGAATACGGTGATAGAGAAATTAATACACAACTACATGAATATTGAAACTATATATATATATATATATGTGTAAGGATTGAGGTGTTATAGAATGGGCTTATGCATAAATGTAAGTGTATACAGAACCTTTGACCTATGTTGGATTTCTTCATTACATTGTTCATATGTTGATGGGGAGCCTTGACATTCCATTTAGTCACTCAGTCATTACTATGGCAACCATGGTGTAATTGGTGTTTTCAGTTAACCACATCTGTGAAGGATTAAGTCGGCCATTGTTGAATGACTGTGTTGAAATCTAATAACTGGTCATTATGCAGTATAACTTTGGGCTTCTTTCAAGTTAAATGAACTCAGTTAATTTTGAGTTGTCATAATAACAAACCCCCCAGAATGTTTGTTTGACCCCTAAACTATCATTTTTTTTCACTCAAAAATACTTTCTCTTGTTTGGGTTTTCATTTTGAACCAATTTCTTACTGGACACATTTTTTCTTGCTTAGTAAAATTTTGGTTCAAATTTTTGGAATTTTTTGATAATTTTTTCAAAATTCAATAGTTATTTTGATAGAAACAGAACACATTGATACTTCTAGATTTTGATCAATCTTTTAAACTTTTTATTTCGAAGAGAATTGCTTTTTAGAGGGTATCTGAAGTTGTTCCCTGTAGTTTTGCTGAATCGCTTTGTAAAATTCATTGTATTACAAAATAGACTACCCAGCATGCAGTGAGATATTATTGAAGTGGTTCCTCAGACAAAGCATAAATTTCTTGTTTACACACATTTTTTCATTGGCAGGGGAGAAAGGTTGGAAAAACGTGGTATGTTTTTTTTTTGTGCAGAAATTCAATTGACTTGCACATTGTCAATATGGAAGATGTGAAATATAGTTTGCAGAAAATCTTGCATTTATGTACATTGTTCGAGCAACATCACGGATATCAAATAGTGAATTGTTTTCAAAAAAACCTGTAGAACAAGACGCTTTTTTTCGGCCTGGCTTGGTTTAAAGCGGGGGAGTTGTCACCTGTGCATGCGTCAGATGGCCATAGCGAGTCATTGTTTACAAACAAGCGTCTACCCATGAGCCTTTGCGTTTTTAGTGTGTGTTGTTATCGTCGCTTGGAAATCAATTCCTGTGCATGCGCATGTGACGACCCTCCCACTTTAAGATGTGTTTGTTGTTGGCCTATCCCTTATTTTCTCTTCTGTAGTTTTAGGGGTTTGTTGTTGGTCTATCCCTTATCGTACCTCCAATTGTGCATTGATTAAGGGGGTACAGTGAGCTCAGTTGCCTGTACTTTGTGATATTTTTAGTCCACGTTGTTATTTCAACAAAAATACTATCAGTTTGAAGTAATTGTCACTGTTTTCTGGAGTGTGATTTTCTTCTTTTTGGTTGCTGTTTTAGTGAGACTGGTCATGCATATATGAAAATTGTTTTAATGAACACCACCCTCAAATGTCATCTCTGTTTGAGTTGAGACACAGCTCTTGAAATCATTGTTGTCAGCTCTTAACAAAATTTTTTCCTCAAATTCATTAATGCTTTGATGCTTTAATTTTTTCCTACCAAAATTTGTTTTGCAACATGTATTCGGTACATATACGTTTTCTATCATTGACTCCTGTGTGCAAAGCACACAATGGAGTCTTTGCAGTTAGGTAGTGTATATGTGTGTATGTGTGTGTGTGTGTGTGTGTGTGTCCGTCTGTTCCACTGAGATTTGATTAGGTTTTGAAAATTTTTTGGCTTTTCTACTAATATCTCAAGTACTGTAAAGATACTATATTTTTGCTTGGAATTAATTTTCTCTGAAGGAATGATTCAGTGAAAATAAAATTCAGCTAATATACCTTTTTTCCTATATTTTACATTCAACTTGTCAAAAATCAGTGAAAATAAATTCCATATAAAAAACACCCCAAAACTCTTTTCAGCAAAAATTAATTCCAGCTAAAATAAAGTATTTTACAGTACTACAACGGTAATCATTACATTTCAATGAAACTTGGTACAATGATGCTCTAGGACAATGCACAGACATCTTTAGTTTTGGTTTAAATCTGTGCATATTAATTATCTAATTTGCATAATAATTCATATTTTTTCAATATTTTTTCAGTATTTTTTTCAATGAATTTTGCTACATAAATACACTAGGACAATGCAACTTATTAGTTTTGGGTTTTACATGTATATACATCCATAATAATTACCTAATTTGCATAATAATTTACTTTTTGATTTTTCAGAATTAATTAAATTAAATTAAAAACTGGGTAAATATGTGCCCTGGAACAATACACAGAGCTAATTAGTTGGAAGGTGAAATCTATGCATAATAATTGATTAATTTACATAATAATTACCCAATTTTTTCAAAAAGCATTTTAATAATACCGAGACCAACACATTAGTTTTGGATTGAAATTCAAGCATGCTATTAAATGCCGAATTTACAAAATGTTTATAATCATTATTTTTCATTGAAATTTGTGATAATCTACAGATGTGATTATTTTAATAATGAAAAATATGCAAATTGATTATCTAGTTATTATTAGCCATTTTCTGGTACCTCAAAAAATCAGATTCAAATTGAACTTGAGGTATTAATTAGACTGAAAACCACAGATGTAAAATCAAATGTATTTTCTGTAAATAATATTATAAACTTCAATAATGTGGATCACGGAGTTTTCATGTTGTACATCTCAAATGTTCACAAATATTAGTTGCCAAGCTTTTCGTTTTGAATGCTAATACATTTTTAATGTCCAATATTCTCAGCACTCAGGAGTTCTTTCTAAGCCTTCTTTGTTTTTAATATTAATTTTAAATCCAATAAGAAGATTTTAATGTTAATTTTAACTCAAATCATTGCCTATATATTTTATCAATTTGATATCGAAGATTTTGCAGTCTTATTTTTTTTAAAACTGGCAAATTTACACTGTCATTCTAAGTTAAAAATGTAAAATAAGAAAATTATGCTAATGAGTAAATGCAAGTCCTAGCATACTTTCTGATGTACTGTAAAAAGCATCAAATTCATATAAATGTATTAATCAACGTCAATTGAAATTTTCTTTCTTTGATTTTACTGAAAGATAGATTTGCCATATTATCATCTAGACATCTCATAATCATGAAATTATGTTGATCTATGATTGGGTGTCCAAATAGTTGGCTGCTTGTTGAATGCGTTCTACGTGCAGCCTGTCACGTACCTGTCGCACTCTGTGAAAGCCGCCTTGTCCGAGGAATTCAACTTAGTGCACAATAAAAGCACATCTATTATTGTACCACACAAAAAGGGAAACATACTAAAACAGTTTGAATAGAAAATTGTAGCCTTGCTACTCTATCTATAGTTTTGGTACAATGTATCATCGCTAATGAAATCTCTGTATTTTACGAGTTTAATTTAAGTTGGGCTAATGTTAAGTTGATAAATGAATGATCTTTTTTTCTTGAGGAAATGACCTTGACACCGAGATCCTTTTAGTGTGTAAATTAATTGTATCATGCGTATAATAATATTTGTTGATTTCCAGATGTTGATTGGTCAAAGCACAGATAAGGAAGTATTTTGAGAGCAGGATAACCGAGAGTGCGCTTGGATGATTATTCAAATTTCGTACCCAAAGGCGTTTGAGTGACTTCTAAGCAAATTTCAAATATAATTATTACTAGGTGATTGTGTGTTAGCTTTTTTGTCTTTCACCTGTGGGTGTTTACTATAAAGTATTTAATTTTCACTGCTGGACATTTTCATGGTTTCAGAATTTCATGGAATTAGTGGAAAAAAATCATACGTAGAACAAATTTTTACTGCAACAAAATTTTGCGTTTTTTTGTGAAATTTGCTGCAAATTGATTCTCGCAAAAATTAATTAAAAGTGGTTTGAATTTTAAAGGAAAAAAAATATTTTTTTGTTTCTATCATGTTGTTTTAATTATTTTCTCCAAAAATATCATCTCTGAAATACATAAATATATAACTTGTAATGAAAATTGTAAAGATTCCATTTTTCTCATTTGGTACAAAATTAACACAACGAACAGTGAATGTTTTTTTATTTTACCCGAGTCACCGAAGAATAAATAATTACATGGATGTCATACAGCATGGTTTTCTTATAAATTAAGTGTTTATTTAGTCTTTACAGCTCAGCAAAAGAATAATTTCTCAAAAAAAAAAAAAAAAACTTTTTTTTTATGATAGAAAAAAATTATTGAAAATTGTACAAACACTCTCTGATATCAACCTCCGTAAAAATGT